TCAAACAGATATTTGTACACCAATGTACCGGTATATAGCAGCATTACTCATAATAACCAAAACATGTGAACAACCCAGGTGTACATCAGCAGCTGAATGGATAAACACTTGTGGTATAGCCATACAATGGAATATTATTTAGTCATAAAATAGAACAAATGTCTGGTACATGCTACACATGGATACACCTTGAAGTCATTGCGCTAAGAAAGAACATCACAGTTCCAGAACTTGTCCCAGCCAAACAGACTGCAGCCCCTATATGGCAGGTGTGAACATGGCAAGGTGGGGCTGGCAGAGCTTGCTGAAGGCTACAGTGAAATTCAGCTTCTTCGGCTGCCCCACTTTGCTGCTTCCTCTTTCCTTCCACAGGCCTCGATCCATAATAAATATCTCTTACCTCAAATTTGATCTCAGCAGTTGCTTCCTGCTTTCTAGGGAACTCAAATGGTAACATACCACAAGTGGATCTGCGCAACACCAGCTTGAAACGGATGAGGCAAATATTTGGCTAGGACAGAGTTTTACAGTCTGATGTCAGTAGGTCTCCTTCATTACCTTCCAAAGCACATATGTACATGCATACTTCCTCATGCTCTGATTTCAACCCCTGTCCCCAACTAAGCTGTGGGCCATGCTCATCCATTATTCCACCTCTGCCTTTCTGGGATGCTCTTCCCCATCTTCTGTGCCTGAAAAATACCTGAGCATCTCTTGAAACCCAATCCACTGCCACCCCCTCTGTGATGTTTTGGGTCCTTCAGACCAGGTGCTGGTGCCCTGTGTGCACCAGGTGAGCAAGCTGGTTAACTGTTCCCCCCTATAATGTGAGCACCTGAGGCCTGTGGCCTTTTCCCCCCAGGGGAATCATGACAAATAAATGTTCAAAAGTCTGTATTATTTTTATAGTAGCCTGAATGTACTCAAAGGGTTTTGGACAGAGGAGGTGTGACTTGCCTTGCATCTAAGGAACACTTCAGCCCTGACAGAAAAGACAGTTTGGGAACCAGCTGAAGGCCAGTAGGAAGATGACCGCACAGGAGGGAGGTAATGGGGCTCCACAGAGGTGCAGCCAAAAGGACATGAGGCTGAGGCTGTGTCTATTCTTTGCTGTCAGACTGAGAAATCAGAAGAGGGGTAAGAAGTTGGAGAGTTATACTGAGGATTTTGCCCTGAGTCTGTTTCCTCATTTGTCAAAGAAAATAGCATCAATTCCCACCTCTTGGGGTGATGTGAGGACTCCATGAGATGATATATGTCAAGTAACTATCTGTGTTGGCAACCCAGGTGGGACTCAACAAGGGATCCCTGCTCCTCTTTTTTAAAAAATTCTATTTTATTCTTTATGCTATTACAGTTGTCCCAAATTTTCCTCCCTTGTCCTCTTCAATTCAGCCCTCCCAACTCCCTCAGGCAATCCCCACACCTTTATTTATGTCCATGGGTTCTGCATATATGTTTTTCCGCTACTCTGTTCCCTATGCTGTACTTTCCATCCCCATAACTATCCTGTAACTACCAATTTGTGTGTCTTAATCCTGTCACCTTTTTCATCCAGCCCTCTTGACCCCCTTCCCATCTGGCAACCATCAAAATGTTTTCTATACCTATGATTCTGTTTCTGTTTTGCTCATTTTGTTTTGTCGATTCAATTGTTGATAGGTATTTATTGCCACTTTATGGTTCATATTTTTGATATTCTTCTTCAAGAAGACCCTTTAACATTTCATACAATACTGGTTTGGTGATAATTAACTCCTTTAGCTTCTTCTTGTCTGGGAAGCTCTTTTTCTGTCCTTCATTTCTAAATGATAGCTTTGCTGGGTAGAGTAATCTTGGTTGTAGGACCTTGCTTTTCATCACTTTGAATATTTCTTGTCAATCTCTTCTAGCCTGCAAAGTTTTTTTTGGAGAAATCAGCTGACAGTCTTATGGGGTCTCCCTTGTGGGTAACTGCTTTTCTCTTGTTGCTTAATATTCTTTGTGCTTAACCATTGACATTTTAAGTGTGATGTGTCTTGGTGTGGGCCTCTTTGGGTCCCTGTTGTTTGGAACTCTCCGTGCTTCCTGAACTTCTATGTCTATTTCCTTCACCAAGTGGGGAAAGTTTTCTGTCATTATTTTTTCAAATAGAGTTCCAATTTCTTGCTCTTTCTCTGCTCCTTCCAGCAACCCTCTGATGTGAATGTTGGTATGCTTGAAGTTGGCCCAGAGGCTCCTTACACTATCCTTGTGGGTTTTTTAAAAATTCTTTTTTCTTCTTTCTGTTCTGATTGGTTGTTTTTTTGCTTCCTTATGTTCCAAATCAATGATTTGATTCTCAGCTTCATCCACTCTACTGCTGAGTCCCTGTACATTGTTCTTGATTTCAATTAGTTTATCCTTTGTTTCTGACTGGATCTTTTTTATGCTGTTGAGTTCCTCATTAATTTCCTTGAGCATCCTTATAACCAGTTTAGAACTCCCCATCTAATAGATTGCTTTCCTCCATTTTGTTTAGTTCTTTTTCCTGGAGTTTTGATCTGTTCTTTCATTTGGGCCATGTTTCTTTGTCTCCTTATTTTGGCAATCTTCCTGTGATTGTTTTTATGTATTAGGTAGAGCCACTACATCTCCTAAGCTTGGTAAAGTGGCTTAATGTAATAGGTGTCATGTAGGATCCAGTGGCTGAGCCTTCCCTATCACACAAGCTGGATACTTAACGTGCACTCACTGTGTGGGCTGTGTATACCCTCCTCTTGTAGTTGAGCCTTGATTGCTGTTGGCACATCCAAGGTCAGCCACCACCTGTGTTCTGTTCCAGATCACACAGTATTAGCTATAAAGAGATCTGCAGATGGCTGCTACTTGTGCTGGGTTTTGAGATGCCTAGGAGAGGCCCTGCCTCTCTTATCCTTGCCAGTCTCCTATTGCGGCAGCCTGACTGGCCATTTCCTGTGCATACTTTGGGTCTCAACTTAGGTCTAACCTTCTCAAGGCATCCTTCTCTGATATCTCTACCATCAACACTTACACATCATGTTTCCTCCATCAGAACTCTAACCTTGATGGCCAGAACAGCTGTCCCTCCTGCAGGAAGCCCACAGTGGCATTGATAGGTCCTCTGTCCCCAGCATCTAGAGGTCCCTGCCTGTCCCCCTTCTCCAAGTTCAAAGCTCCATGGTCAATGTCTCTCCGATATTCCCATGGCTCTTCTCCTCTTCCCCCTCAGGTCCATTCTACATGAAGGTGTGGAGTGGAGGTGGGGGTTCCAAGTCTGGCCATCCTGGGTCAGAAGGGGATGTTGCCCTGAGGCTGTGTGACCTTGGACAGACCACTAATTGAAGCATCAGTCCCTCCTCCTATGCTAAACTTGCTGAAACAAAGCTTATTCCTTCTCCTTTTCTCTAGGATCTATCTCTCCCTCTTAGGCTGAGAGTTGTGCCTAGGTCCTCGGGTTTTCTGGGACTTGGGATTCTCAGTGGTAAAACCAGTACAGTCCTAGGAAAATTAGGCTTGTTGGGCATCCTACTCTTATTGTGGTAGAATGAATGCTCTAAAACTTTTTAAGAATTTCACAACTAAAATTATGACTTTTTTTCATACAAATGAAACATTAAACCATGACAAGGAATTAGGGTTCCTTGGAGAAATGGTTGATTCCAGGTCTGTGACAGAGTAGAAGATGATTCTAGAACAACTTGTGCTAGAAAGTAAGAAAGTGCTAAAAAATTATGACGTATTGAAAGGAAAAGGAAGCCAGTTTGGAGTAGCCCCCACTGGCTAAATCTGCCATTTGAGCATCTAAATGAATAAGGAGAGTAATAGAATAAAACTCATTGAGTAAAATAAGAACCCACTGGCCCATACTGCTAATGAATGATATATTTTCTCTGGAATACAAAGCTAGTAAATGGAGAAGGAATGATGGAAATAGAAAAGAAATAGTATGGCAATAATTCATTTGGACAAGAACTATAAATGAAAACTAGTGGGTTAAAAGTGAGAGGAGTGAAGGGATTTTGGCGCAGTCTCAAAGTGTCTTCTCAGAAGTAGTAATTACAAGGGAAAACTCAGCAGTGATCTGAGTGATGCAATTGAATGCTGACAATTCAGCACCACCAGCCAAAGTGCACCATCACCTAATCTATGGATACATCAGTCTTGCGTGCCTTAGGAAGATCAAGGTCATAAAGACAAAGAGGAATAGTCTCTCCCAGTTGGAGAGAGAGTAAGGAGACATGACAACCATTGAAGGAGGTTGGAACCGTGCTAATGAGCACAGCATCAGGGTCGGGCATCCAGAATGGGAACACTGGACTGCACATGGAAACGTCTAGTTATTAGGAAACAGGCCGGAAGCATTTCATAATTAGTAGGGGGGAAGGCGGCCCTTCCGCTACCGGCCCTCAATCAGTGTGCTCTTCATTTCCTTTAGAACGCGGATCTGGTTCTCAGACTTTACTAGAAACCTTAAACCGCGCACTTGACCATTTTCCCCACTACACACGTGCAGGGCTGGGCCTGCCTAGCCTGTACGTCCGAAATGTCTAATTACCCTTCCCAAGGTTCTTGGGGACCCTGAGGGGCGGGGCGGATCCGAGGCCAGGTGTCAGCACCCCCGCCACACACACATCATCTCCCCGACGGCCCAAAAACCACTGCCAGCCTCCAGCCTCGCGGCTCTGAGGCGCGGGCACCGGAAAATAGCGTGATTCCGGCTCTGTGACGGCAGCCTTGAGGACCAATGACTGCCGGGGATGGGCAGGCGCGGTGCATGACGGGCTTTATAGTCGGCGCCGCCGGCGGGACGCGGGCATCCACAACGTCCCCCTCGGCGGCAGCCCAGGCTTTCGAATTGGCGTGGGTGGAGGCCCTAGGCGCTGGGCCCAGCCAATCACGGGCTGGGACGGGTGTGCTCTTGTCACTAGGGGCCTTCCAGTCGCGCTGGCGGGACTACGGCACCCACAGTGCCCCGCGCGGCTGGAAGCCCACTGCGGCTGCGCGGGGGCCGCGGTGCCGTCGGGCTGGGCGGTGGTCAAGCGGACGGGACCCGGGTTTGAGCCTGGTGGAGGAGACGTGCGCCAGGCTACGGCTACCATGTCGGCGCCGTCTGAGGAGGAGGAGTACGCTCGGCTGGTGATGGAGGCGCAGCCAGAGTGGCTGCGCGCCGAGGTGAAGCGGCTGTCGCACGAGCTGGCTGAGACCACGCGCGAGAAGATCCAGGCGGCCGAATACGGGCTGGCGGTACTTGAGGAGAAACACCAGCTCAAGCTGCAGTTCGAGGAGCTCGAGGTGGACTATGAGGCCATCCGGGGCGAGATGGAGCAGCTTAAGGAGGTGAGGAGCGCGGACGGCCGCCGCCACGCCCTCCGGCGTCTCCGCCCGGACCTGGACGCGGACCCGGACCGGGACCCCGACCCAGACCCCTGCCTCTGAGCCAACCCCTCACCCGGACCGGGCTGACTCTCGAGCGGATCACTCAGCTTGGGCTGTGCCGACGTAGTCGGCAGCCCAAGGGCGCCGGCCGTCTGCCAGGGCTGCGATGGTGCCGCGTCGCCAGCCTGCTTGCTCTTGGTGGCAGGCCTCGGGAACAGTGGGGTGGTTTTCTCTGCGATGTTTGGTGGGGGCGGGAAAAGTGTGGGCATTGAGTGTGTGGGCATGGGACAGATGCAGAGAAAAGCCGGGCCTGGTCCTGCGTCACCTACCTCCAGGCCGATCGCTTCCCCAGTCTCAGCGCAGTTGCCTTCAGCGGTTTCCGTGTTTTCCACGCGTGCTCTGAGGCCAGGAAAGGGCTGGGACGGGGGCTTGCCTTGTGTGTGGCCATCGTTGCCAGCTGGGGTCCCCCAGTGTCCCTCCCAGAAACAGCTTTCTGACCATATCGCGTAATGAGTGCTCTGGGCTGCTGTGCTTCCTCCCAATTCCTGTCCTGGACGCCCTCCCAGGCTCTTCCCTGCATGCTGGTGACAGGTCGGTGGGTATTTGTCTCAGAGAGAGCCTTGTGTCCCCTGTGTGGTTTTCACTCCGGGATGAGGAGGTTGGGTCCCCCGGTCAGTCCTTCTGTGAAGTAGTTCTCAGTGATTTAAACAGCAGCTTCTCTCCCAGCGCTGTTGTCGAGAGTGAGGAGGGAGTTGTTGCCTTTTGGGTGGAACACCCAGGTTTGGACCGAGGCCCTACCTGGCTGATGATGTACCTGTGGGCAGGGGCCTTAGCTTCTCCCTCTGCAACATTGTCCACGAAAAGGTTATGAGGGTCTTATATTTGAAAAGGTGGGCATGGTGTCAGGTGTGTGGCCTGTTTCTTTGCCCCTTCCCACCTAACTTTTTCCCTTGTCTGGGTGGGCTGTTGGCCCTTGGTCTTGGGATCCACTATACTAGTTGCTTCCCCCACCACTCACCTCCTGGCACCATAGCTCTCAGTGGCCTTGGGCGGGTGCCTGGACTGTTCAGAGCCTCCCTGCCTCACTGGGGAGACCTCTTTTTAAGGTGGGGAGAAAACAGTGAATGAATCTGTGCTTGGTGCTTTAAGTCGAATGCCTGGCATAGCAGGTGCTCAGCATTAGCATCAGTAAATAACTGAAATGGAGATGGCGGTGAGAAGGCAGGTAGCAGCTCATTTACCCGAGGTCCTGATGTCTCTCAGCAGGTATTGGGGCCTCCTTTGAGTGGCCCCTTGGCTGGCATTAGTTCTACCAGAGAGGTAACATGTGGCTTCTCTTACACCATTTTGGTGTTGGGGGGATGTATCCATGGTCTTCCAGGGTGGGGCTCACCGCCTTTCCCACGCACAGTCCCCTTTTGTGTTCCTGTAAGAAGGGACTAGACTGACCATCGCAGAGGGAACTGGTTTTCATTCAAGCACCTTTCAGTTGTTAGCTCTTTATTATTGTGGACACAAACATTTTGGCCAGTGCAGGAATCTTGGTTCCATTTAGTTGGTTTATCTGGAGGGTGGGTCCTAGGGAAATCTGGAGGAAGGCCTGTCAGTCTCTGCAGGTATTTTTCAGGTGCTTGCTTATTAGTTTGTTGCCACCTCCTGGTTCCTGCATACACTGGCTACATGACCTTGGACATGTTGTCCCACTGCCCTGAACTTGAATTTCCCCCATTGTAGATGGGAAGTCCTGGCAGAAGCTAGAGGAAGGTGCATCAATTTCAGTAGATGTTGCCAGAAAGGTTGCACCAGTTCCCTCACACTCATGGCAGTACGGGCTCTTGTCAACCTGTGTATTTTTGTCTAGTTTCATATGTGGAAATACTCTTATTTTAAAAATCAAGATTTAACTAGACAATATGGGGTGGTGGCAAAAATAGGTTTATAGTTCTTATGGAAAATAACAATAAACAATAATACAAGAATAAACTGTTTCATGTACTCAAAACTGTAAACCTGTTTTTGCCCCACCCAGTATTTGTTGGGTCCTTTTTTTTTTTTTTCTCCTGTAGAGAAGTGAACCGTCTTCATTCTTTTAACATTTTATTTCTTGAACTAAAGTGGGTATGGTTACTAACAAATTATGTTGCAAACAGAGTTGGCTGCACTCCTGCCCAGCATTCGTAGATCATACTGTCTTTGAGGGTGGGAAACTGCCTTGCTGGGCACAGGCACTGTGACCTTAGCTGCAGCTTAAAGAGTGCAGGTGTGCTGGGGTGGCAGCTCCATAAGGTGGTGGTCCTCCTAGGTGGGGATGTGAAGGTTAGAGGGTATGCCTCAGGCCAGAGGTGGGTTCCTGATGCATTCTCAGCCCACCATCTCTTGGCTCCCAGAGAGTGGGAAGACAGGTCTGGACCTCGCTGCCTCTGTGCCACCTCAGGATCTTGAATGTGTGGTGCACATACAATTTGGTGAGCTTTGGTGTGTAACAAGCTGCACATGGTGTCCAGCACACAGAAAGTGCCTGGTTAGTAAGGGTACTGGGTGGTGTCCTCAGCTCCTTTCCTCCACCTGTCAGGTCTGGATCCCCTTCCTGTTATCCCCACAGCCACTTGGGCTCTGCTTCTTGGCCTTGTGTGGTCCTGAGTGGCCTCACCTCATCTCCCAGAGGGCAACCCAAGCCTGCTGCTTGGGGCCTCCAGTCTGGCTTATCCTGTACTGCCTTTACCATCTGATGCTTCTAAGCCTCTTCTTCCACTGCCTCTGGACTTGCCTGAGCCCAGCTCCCAACACTTGGGTGTCTCTCCTGTCCTGCCTGCTCAGCGGCCACACGAAAGGCTGCTGCAGAGCCAGTGGAAGCAGCTCCTCTGTCCCCTTTGCTCCCTCTTTCCCATCTGTTTTGTAATCTCATCTCTCAGAGGATGGAGAGACTGAAGTAGAGATGGGTGGGAGAGACTAAGGAAGGCTCAGCAGCTCAGACAACGTGGCAAGGGATCCTCGGTACAAAGTTCCCTGTCCATGTTTTCCCAGAAGTCATGGCCAGGAGAGGTGGTATGAGAGTGTCCACTCAGCCTTACCCCTACAGCTGAACTGTTTCTGCCATAGCCTTCCTGTGCCCCATTGACTCCTGCATTCCCCACACCAGTCCTTGGGGTACCACCTTTTTATGTCCATTGTGCCAGTGGGGAAACTGAGGTAGATGCAGAGAAGCTGTGTTTTGCTCAACACTGTGAGCCCAGGCAGCCTGACCCAAAAGGGCAGGCGCCTACTGAGGATTGAAGGGTAATTGGAGGCCTTTGTGTGAGGTCCAGCCTCCTTGAGTGTTTGCTTCAGGGCTGGAAGAGTCCTGATTTTGGCTAAAGCCTGTAGGGATTCTCCTACTCCTCTGATACTGCCCTAGAACTTGGAGCACAGAGTGGTTGGGGGGAGGAGTCCCAGGGCCTTTTGGAGCTGGAGCAGGGATGTGCATTATTCTGCTTTCAGCATGAAGAAGCCTGACTTGGAGTAGAAGCTGTAGTCTAGGGAATCCTGGAGGTGCTGAGGTGGCCCTGCTGACTCCTGGTCAACAGCCAGGAGAGGCAGCTAGGGCATCAGAAGGCCATGACTCCAGGGCCCACTGTGGCTATACTGCTGGACACTCCCCGCAGTCCCACAGGCAGAGCGTATGTTGGGCAGGGGATTGTGCATTAATCTTATGGGCTCTTTTACTTTTAAAGGCATCCGGGACTACTGCGTCACCTGGGCTGTTTACTTCTGCTGGCCTGGTTGGTGAACAGCAGTGTACCTCAGCATCCCCAGGGCATGGCCCTGTACTCAAGACTGGCACTCTGTGGCAGAGCTGTCTTCGTAGGAAAGTAGGACAGGAGGGAAGTCAGGTCTGGGACCAGGAGCCTGTGTCCCAAAAGTGGCCTACCTGGGCAGGCAAGGAGGTGAAGCATGTGGTGTCCAGGGCTGTGGTTTTCACACTGGCTTCATGGAGGGCTCGGACCCTGCCTGAGCCCTCAGCTCTGTGGTCCTGGACAAGCAGCTCTGCCCGTTGGGGCCAGACGTCGGGGTCGCTAGGATGCAGGACACTGCATGCGTTGGTGTACCTGGAGCCCATTAAGGATGGTGGTGGTTGAGGCTCCCTTGGTCTGAGCAGCTGCCTTGGAGAGAGCCATAGCCACGTCAGCACATGCTCATGCTGGGCCTCCCCCATCACTTCCTATGAAGGAGATCGTGTTCCCTTCATCAATTTGGGGTAACCCCCCCACGCTTTAGACCCGCGTCTCCACATCAGTACACTGGGTGAAGGGCCACTGTATACATTGGGGGTGAAGGAAGGATTTGATTTCTTAGACAGTGAGGTGAAGTGGGCCAGTGGGTGTCCAGAAACCTGCAGGCTCTTGACAAGTGATGCCCTCATGGGCCCTGGGCCCTGGGCTGTCATGTGTTTGGAGTATGGCTCCTTGAGCCATTCCCCAGAGCAGAGGGGCCTGTGTTACTGCCCAGCTGCTGTCCTGGATATAAAATGCAGCCGTCCCGCTGGGCTCCACCACAGGAGGTGGACTGAGGGATGGGATTGCAAGGGTAGAGTGGGTCTCAGAGTGGAGCAGGCAGTTCAGGGTAAGGCAAGTGATGGCATCAAGGAGGATTAGGCTGCAGCAGCTTTTTTAGAGTTTAATGTGTTTAAAATTAGTTTATTCATTTTTGGAACATCAGAAAGTAAAAGTGAATAGTGTCTCAGCAGGAATTAGGAAGATGATGAGAAGTGTGGGGAACAACTTGGTATTTCTACTTGTGGCTTTTTTCTTCCACTTTATGTATGTGAGATACAGATGATACCATAAAAAATAAAAAGTGCTTAGAGTATCTGTAACAGTTGCTTTTAAAAAGACAGAGTTTGCTGTTACCCTTTGAGTTGCTGAAAAGCAGATTTCATTCAAGTAGATAAAGACATGGAAGTTTCCATAGATTCAGAAGGTGCT